ACTGGACACTTTCTAATAAGGGTCTGTTCCGTATCAAGGTTTAAAATTGGGAAATGTTTTATTAATAGTTTTTTTAGATACATTAAATCGGCAGGCTTTTGACTTTGTCTGATAGGGTCAATACCCTGACTAATTAATTAATACTATTGAATGAACTCACTTTACGTCTAAACTTCTAATGTCAGTCAACCTAAACAAATGAACTTAATTTTTTGATGTAATGTTTGGTGATAATATCATATTATATATTGAGTAGCGTATATTAAGAGATAATGTTTATTATACAGGGGTAGAGTAGTCTAATAGTGTTTTCAAAATGTTTATAGAAGTATTTTAGTTACTTCTTGTCAGGAAAAAAATAAAGTGGGTATATTTTGTAGTATAACAATTATTTAGATGGACAGATAATAATTTTTTTTTCTCTTTTCATATTAAACTTTAACGACGAAAATGTGTGAACTATAATTATGGTTTACAAAAGAGAATATCATTTTAAGGTTCCCTTTATATTGAAAATGTCAGATTTTCGCATGTTATGTGCAAGAAGGGACATATTGGTGAGTTTCTCCAATACTTATACTATTTCTCTACCCCGTGATCTCAAAGGTGAATGAACTCTTTGTAAGGATTTTCCACTGCATGATTAAAATATTCATAATCAGTTCTGTTTTACTTTGTAAACAAGTTTGTATGGTAATGTTTTAAAAGGAAATCAATTACTCTTACTAGAATTAATTTTATTATACTTATCCGCTATAATAGTAAGATTTTATATGTCATATCATATCCAGGAACGAGCACCTAGCTCAACTGACAAACAATTATTCTATTTTGACGTTTCATAAGTAGGTAAGTACCTATTTATGGTTTATTTGAAATGTTTTGGAATTTTGACTTTGATTTTATCATGGCAGTTACATTTAGTAATAGGAGGAGAAATTTAAAATCAGAAATAAGACAGTTAACTAGTTTTGGACTACAAACTGTCAGCTAAAATATCAATTTTTCACAAACAAAGCAAATTGAACTTTATTGGTTCCAAAATTTGATTGCTATTAGAGTTCACACCAAGTTTTTGTTGCTTCAAATCAGGTCAAGGTTCAACTGTTTGATTTGATTAACGATTTCCTGATTACTATTATTTGGTATGCTATGCTAATTTAAATGTATAATCCACGACAATGACATGACAATGATAATGCTAAAATTATTAGGAAAACAATGATCAAAATGTTTAACTCGGTGTTAAGACTAGTACTGTTTTCTTCGTCAAAAACGTTGTGGCCTGGGATATAAGGCGCCCGCATCTCATGTCTAAGGGTTGTGAATTTGCCGAGTTTTATGTACTTTCTATGATTATTTAGACACCATAGGCATATGGTGAAGGAAAACATCGTCTCGAAACCTGGATCTATGATTTCTAATTATAAGTCGCTTAAAAACAAAGTCCGTTTCCCTATAAAAATCTTTAAAGACTACGCAAGGTATTTTGATGCGGTTTTTTAATAGGTAGAGTAATTGAAGAGGAAAGGTTATATGCATTATAACATCTATTACAATCTATTACAATTAGTTAGTTAGACTAACAGAATGTCGGTCCTTATGTCAGCTTGGAGTTGTCATGCTCACTCAAAGGTCACATTGGCGGTGGCACGGTCACTAGATCGCTCGATTCCCTATATTATAGTTGAGTTGGGCGATGCTGGTGTACGTGTCATTTTTGTGAACGGCCGCCGTGAATTGGCACTGGTCAGCTCCGGACTGTCTATTGTCCTTAAGGTTATTTTCTTTTTATGTTTCTCTGTATACACGCGTTACACTGTTCTCACATAATCAAACCAACTAAATAATGTATCAAAGAATCTTTATGTGACACTGATTTAAAAAGAGTAACCATGGAGTTTCTTGCTCGTTCTTCTCTATCGGAATCTACACTTTGGAACGAGCGAATAGCTTCACTAAGAGGATTGACCGACAGACTGACACTTTATTATTATATCTTTAAAGTTTTGTTTAACGTTCAAAAGTGCCTGTATGGGTCTAATTGAAATAAATTATTTTGACTTTGACTTTGACATCCAATTAATTATTGGATGTCAAAGTCAAAGTCTCGTCTCGTCGAGAAATTTAGTATCAGCATTACATCCGTGCGGATGATACAGGTCGCTAGCTAGCTCGCTAGCTAATAGTTAGAATACAGGGATTTAACGATGATTAGGAACAGTCATTATTTGAAAAATATATAATCTATGTTAGTAAAAACTATTACCTTCAAGTACATTTTCAGCATCTAAATAATATACCAACTTGAATATTTCGACAAAATTCGGCATGAACTTTGATTATTTATTTAGGTAAATAATATATTCCATTGTAACTTACATTATTCAGAAACACAAGGGACGCAGAAAGTTAAATAAAGTTCTATATTTTTTATTTGCCAAGGTAAAACCTGTTTTATTATGAGATATTTTAGGTCCATGTGCCTAAACCCCGATGCGAATGTTGAATAATAAGTAGTTTCATCATATTTTAAGTACCTAATGTTGACAACAGATTTACTGAATCAGAGATTTTAATTCTAATTAACAGTTTGTTACTTTAAGGGTTAAATAGAGTCAAGGTGGCGCATAATTTATAACTTTACTTTAGTACAATTTTGAACTTATGTAGGTACGTGAAATTCCTTCAATAGAGCAAAGTACATGGTTGTTTTAAGTGATACTTAAGTAATTACTATTATCAATCACATTCAAATAAGACGACAACTAGTAATTACTTTTTCTAGTAGTAGTTTCTAGTAATTAAATTTAAAAAATAAATACATAAGGTTGCTAAACCTCCCTTGAGTTTAGCTACCTATGTATTGAAGAAGATTTCTCACCTATTCTGATTTTAATCGTTTGGCTTTTAAAGAAAAAAATCAGAACGTCCTTAAACTAATTAATACATTTAACACACAGACAATCAAACAATACGTTAGTCTACGGTTTTTGTCAACCACTTAATAAAATTATACTTTTATCCAAATGTCAAATACGATACCTTTCTATTTTAACACCAAATTATGACGTCATAGTCTTTTTGGGTCAAATACCATACTTATTTCTTAAAAAGTATCGAAAATTTAGTATATCGACAGAACGATGAATAAAAGTACTTATAGTTAATTTAATATTTTATTGTATCGAAAGGTCTAATTAATTTTTGTGTCTTAGGAAACTATCCAATTCTAAATTATTAAGGTTAATCACATCCATCGAATCTGAGCTCCCGAGCAAAGAAGCGACAATCCAATCTATACGTCGATCGTCAGCTGTTAAATCCTTTATGATTGCCTTCTCAGCTATTATATCCTCTTTGACTATATCTAGTACGCTATTATCAATTCGAAACTAATCTAGAATTGGATTGTTTAGTTAACAAAATAGCAGATTACGACCACGACATCTCGTATATCTTCCTCAGAACCTAACTACACATATGTACTTATGTTATTTTATTTTTTCTAATGTCAGTAGAACTTGGAGAAGTGTGGGAGAGCCATGCTTCGGCACGAATGGGTCGGCTCGACCGGAGTGATACCACGGCCTCACAGAAGACCAACGTGAAACAACCACACCGTTGTGTTTCGCCGTGTGAGTGAGGTTACGGGAGGCCCAATCCTTCCCCGCCCCCAATCCCTCCTCAATCCCTAAAATCTCCAAATCCCTAATCCCTAAAAGGTCGGCAATGCACTCGTAACTCCTCCGTTGTGGGTGTCCATGGGCAGTGGGTGGAGTTACAGTGGCACTACGTCACGTCAAGATTTTAGCCGAGAAATATTACTTTACACAGATACGTTAAATATATTCAGATTTGAAGTAACTGATGGCAAATGATACAAATGCATTGATGCGCTGCTCGCTGCACCAACCGTACAATGACATAATAATTATATATTTTTTAAACTTGTTACGTTAATACGAAAGTACGAGAAAATTCATTGACTCATGTTTTTATAATGTTGGTAAACAAGGTCTAAATATAGACCGAGTTTAAATTTGCTGTTTTTATTGATATAATTAATGTTTATAAGTTCGTAGGTACATTTCCATAGGGCTGACGTCATGAGATGACCTTCGGGAATTCTACTACAGTATATTCTAGATCGCCTGAGAGACTTGTTTGGAGAATTTCCAGAGCATTACCCTCGTTGTAACGATTGTACAGTGCATACATTCTTTTATTATCTGGACTGTATTTATAGTTTTAAAGCCAGGGGATCTACACTGCGATAGACGTAGGTATTGATTGTGAGCTTTGGCATCTTAAAGGTCAACCTTTTAACCTGATGCCAAAGCTCAATACGAATTTCTCCAAAATACGTACCTACCTACATCGCTATAGTTACAATCGCAATCATTTGTACGTGTATTTTCCTTTGTTGTAATTAATTTTATCGCTGGACAATTATTTTTGTCTGATATTGGTAAAAAATAATTATGTGCCTAGCTTATTGGACTTTTAGCAATCAGTTCAACGGCCTACCTACCCAACATAAGCGTCGTATTCAGCCAGAATCCTCATTCATCTAAAAGTGATCAAAACTAGAGTAAAATACTAGGTTTTGTTACGATCCCAACTTTTTTACTTAACATTGTATTGAATTTTTACCGACTTCAAAAAAAGGAGGAGGGTACTATGTTCGGCTGTTTTTTTTTGTATGTTCACCGATTACTCCGCCATTTACGAACCGATTTCCAAAATTCTTGTTCGTTTTAAATTTTATACACCCGAGAGGTTTCCGTTTTCATGAAGTCAGGATGTGATGATACAATCCAAGACAGTCGAGGGATCTCCTTGAGTTTTTGGAGTGTTTGGGCTTTAATGATTTGTATTGGTGAGCACTTTACACCAAGATTGATCGTGTGACTGTCTTTATGGGTCTGATGATGAGAACGAACTCCTGAACGGCTTACAGTAACTACATCGTGTTTGAACTTAATTTAATTATATTGATGAGATCTTTGCGCCTATATGGAGAGATAGAGATAGAGATAGAGATAGAGATAGAGATAGAGATAGAGATAGAGATAGAGATAGAGATAGAGATAGAGATAGAGATAGAGATAGAGATAGAGATAGAGATAGAGATAGAGATAGAGATAGAGATAGAGATAGAGATAGAGATAGAGATAGAGATAGAGATAGAGATAGAGATAGAGATAGAGATAGAGATAGAGATAGAGATAGAGATAGAGATAGAGATAGAGATAGAGATAGAGATAGAGATAGAGATAGAGATAGAGATAGAGATAGAGATAGAGATAGAGATAGAGATAGAGATAGAGATAGAGATAGAGATAGAGATAGAGATAGAGATAGAGATAGAGATAGAGATAGAGATAGAGATAGAGATAGAGATAGAGATAGAGATAGAGATAGAGATAGAGATAGAGAAGGTAGAGTAGGATAGGTACAGCAGTGTTGGTAGAATAGGGTACGTAGAGTAGGGTAGGTAGCAAATGACGGGAACGACAATGATGACGAAACAATGATGTCAACCTATCAAGTGAAATGGTTAAAAGCAAATAACTTCAGGAACAACAGTGACGGGATAAAAATAAAGGTGACGGTTACGGCTCTTGGTGCGAGGAAAACCTGTGTGGAAAGTGTTTTTAGATGTAAGAAGTCCGGTCACATGATGAAGAATTGTCCTCAGAAAAATAAAAGACATGAAGAACCACCATCCACCAAGGATAATGCTTTGTTGAGCACTGTCGGTTATCGTGGAAGCTAACTCTTGGTATAGGTAATGGTGCCGGAGCAACGAACCATGCGCGTGTGTGTAATGATAGAAGTCTCTTCAGAGACTTTATCTCGATCAAGCCTTTAAAGGTGTACATTGCTAATGGTGATAAACTGTCTATTATTAACTGATAAACTGTGTATTGGTTAACGCAACGTCATAGATAAAGTGGATTTAGATAAAAGATAAAAGATAAAAGATAAAAGATAAAAGATAAAAGATAAAAGATAAAAGATAAAAGATAAAAGATAAAAGATAAAAGATAAAAGATAAAAGATAAAAGATAAAAGATAAAAGATAAAAGATAAAAGATAAAAGATAAAAGATAAAAGATAAAAGATAAAAGATAAAAGATAAAAGATAAAAGATAAAAGATAAAAGATAAAAGATAAAAGATAAAAGATAAAAGATAAAAGATAAAAGATAAAAGATAAAAGATAAAAGATAAAAGAAGAGAATATAGTAGATTTTTGTCGGGGGTTTTCTAAATTTTAAATTCATAATTACAAAAAACACTGGTTATGAACTACTTATTTTGAATTATTATTATTAATTATTGATTTATAAATAACATTCAAGATTATAAAACGATCTTTTATCTTCACCTTCACCTTCACCTTCACCTTCACCTTCACCTTCACCTTCACCTTCACCTTCACCTTCACCTTCACCTTCACCTTCACCTTCACCTTCACCTTCACCTTCACCTTCACCTTCACCTTCACCTTCACCTTCACCTTCACCTTCACCTTCACCTTCACCTTCACCTTCACCTTCACCTTCACCTTCACCTTCACCTTCACCTTCACCTTCACCTTCACCTTCACCTTCACCTTCACCTTCACCTTCACCTTCACCTTCACCTTCACCTTCACCTTCACCTTCACCTTCACCTTCACCTTCACCTTCACCTTCACCTTCACCTTCACCTTCACCTTCACCTTCACCTTCACCTTCACCTTCACCTTCACCTTCACCTTTACCTTCACCTTCACCTTCACCTTCACCTTCACCTTCTCCTTCACCTTCACCTTCTCCTTCACCTTCACCTTCACCTTCACCTTCATCTTCACCTACATCTTCATCTTCATCTTCACCTTCGCCTTCCCCTTCCCCTTCCCCTTCCCCTTCCCCTTCCCCTTCCCCTTCACCTTCACCTTCACCTTCACCTTCACCTTCACCTTCACCTTCACCTTCACCTTCACCTTCACCTTCACCTTCACCTTCACCTTCACCTTCACCTTCACCTTCATCTTCATCTTCATCTTCATCTTCATCTTCATCTTCATCTTCATCTTCATCTTCATCTTCATCTTCATCTTTATCTTAATTTTTGATGATTCACTTGCATTGTAGATTTAGTAATACGATTGCTTCATTGCTTAAGCTGCTACTGCTATTAGGTACTGCGATAACTGTGGGGGTTTAAATGTTCGGAATGTAAAATAAAGCCTGGTTTCATGATAAGCCAGTATGCGGTATTAATGTAACTGGTTAAATAGACTTTTAACCGTTGTAATATTTGTTTGTATGAGCAGTTTAGTGCTGTGTGCAGCAGAGAGTCATAGATTCATCCCGCTTTGTTCGGCGCGACTACACTAGGGCTGATGTCCAGTCGGGGTTGTAGTTGAAACCACAGTAATGTACCATAGCCCTGGCTCGAACCAGAGCAGGAGAAGGAACGGGGGGGTTTTTAGTCGGTAAGAGTCTGAAACTCTCTCTCGCCTTACCCTGGGCGGGAGAAGTCATTGGATGATTTTCCCCTGACAAAAAAAAGTCCTGGCTCAAAGCAAGAGAAGGAAAGGGATGGGATTTAGTCATTATGAACCTGATACTACCTAGAGACCCACCTAGGGCGGTAGAAAGACTAAATGTTGCTGCTAAAAAACAAAAAAAATGTAGTTCGTCCCATTCACTTTTAGGTCGGTACATTCATGATTTCAAAATTATTATCTTCAAGATATTTAACATAATCGATTTCAAAAACTAGCACCTCAATTTCATCAATAAGGGCCACAAGTCAAAAGGAACAATGAGGCGCGTGCAGAATACTAAAACACTAACACAACCTGGATTTATCGACCCACCTACTATTTGTAAGTAACTTTTACTGCGTACGTGAGACAAAACCTGAACATGTGTGGCTTACAACTCAAGGATGAGCAGAAATATAGCAGATCTAAATAGTCTTTATTAGACTACTAATATAATGTACTAACAATTTATTTAACACTAGCTGGCCTCTTTGAAGTGGCAAACTTTGTACCGCCTCAAATGTGTAGTTTTATGAAATTAGTTTTGTCTCTTTTCATTATATCTAAGTTACTTACTGAGCAGTTTGTATGGAGAAGAAGTGTCGTCTTTGGTATTTTACGGGCCAATATTCCCCACTATTTTAACGTTTAAACCTTTCTTGTATATCCAGGAATATTTTAAAACAACAACATGTCATGTTGGTCTATCCTTTCTCAAGTTTTAGCTAGACTAACAAACCGCATTCATCATCAAAATAAGATTACAAATTGCAATAGAATTGTTAATAGACAATAAACGAACGGTCTTACTTCGACAGAGAAATGTAGGGTTTCTGTTCTGGATTCTCTAGTCCAAATAAAGAGACGTACGCAAGGAAGAGTGAGTTGAAGTATTAGAAATATAATATAGAATCGGCATGATGGATATCCCATCCACATGCACGAAGAGGTTCGCCTTCAGTTTTATTATCATAACCGCGATGGAGTGGAATTCTGTGTTCTTCGAAAGGCCCGAGTGCTTACTGCATACATGCATGCTCCATCGCAGGTCGCATCATCGCTTGCCATCAGGCGTGGGAATGAAAAAATGCTTGCCCATTACTAAATAATACAACAAGTTTTCTAACAACTGGTTTCCACTCTTTTTTGTGAACTTAATATTTTGTGAAGATGACTCCACCAGTCTACCATATTATACATGTATTTAATTCATGATGTTCCTTGGTAAATGATTGGGGTTTCTGTATGAAGAAAAGAATTGTAATCATTTCTGTCGCTCATAAATAATATAGGTATGGTACGGTAGGAGAGAGCAAGATGTTATTAAATATTTTGTAGTGTATTCTGCAGAAATCTGTTCTGCTGGCCTTTGCTCTAGTAAGTTAAGACGGTCGGTCGGTCTGACCCCATTCTTGGTTAGCAGTTTTAGTTTTCAAGGAAAATAAGCAAATGTGATATTTTTTTCTTCTATTTAATTTTCATTATCAAAAAGGATCATTTGTATGTAGATATAAACAAAAGTTTATTTTTATAAAAACTAAAATATTGCAAGTCTTAATTTGGAAAGGCAAAAGAGGAGATAATTTACCAGATGGTAAGTTGTTTCTACCTCACATTGCACCTGCATCAGAACAGGAGTTACAGGTAGGTTGTTGTTTACATGAGAACATACAATATTAGATTTGTTTCATGCCGGGTTAGTGTTGCATGTACAACCTACTGGAACATTGTCGGGGTTCGGGTCAAGTACAATATAGTCAGTAAGATTCTGACGCATCTTTTTGCCGCACTCAGAGAGAGAAAAGAAATTCGATTATTTACCCCACTCAGAAAAAACCTATTGTTATTCTCTTTTAGTAAGAATTTTGTTGGTATACAAAATCACATTTTAATTTACAATTTAATTTAATGTACGATCCGTAGTAGGTACTGAAACCCTTTTGATGATTGTAAATTCCGTTTCGTGATCGTTACTATACAATTAAAATAAATACCGATTTCGTAATATGGGTCAAATAGGTGATTTTTTTTAGATCCACATGTCATAGTACATAAAATAATGACTTTTATTTTATGAGAATCGATTCAGTTTTACTGGTATATTTTGTGATTAACTTTGGTAATATGATACATTGCCCAGTTCTATTGTTTAAACGGGATATATCGGCAAATGAACAAGAAGTTCACCTGATGGTAGATGGTAAAACTAAAAAAATTACAAGTGCGTTGCCGTGTTTGTGAGGGCGTGGTATAACCTCAATCTTTGTATCGGATTCGGGTTCATGCCCGAAGAATGGCTTTTTTTCTAAGGGGAAAGTCATCCAATGACTTTTCCCGCACATGGTCGGGCGGGAGGTAGTGTCAGACTCTTACTGACCAAAAACCTCCCTGTTCGTTCTCCTGTTATGGGCCGAGGCCTCGGTACCTCATTGATTTCGCTTGCCCCGCAATTCCGGCTACCGAAGAATGGCTAGAAGAGCCACATTTCCGTATAACACTCTAAGAAAGGGTTAGTTGAGGTTCCAAGTCCCTACGAAAGTCGCCAAAATCCAACAAGTACCTTTACCAATAAATTTTCTATATAGTTTAACTTTTGGTCTTACCTTTAGTGCTATATGACAAACTATTTAATGTTAACGACCCAAAAGGGAAGCAAACAAGAGATAAATTTTATAGTGTCATGTACTGACCTAGTAAATCTGACCGCAGAGACGGAGCGTAAAAGCCTGTGACAGATACTTAAGCTGAAAATAACATTGAAACAACAAAGGGTACTAACTTCGTAGGTCCTAGACTAACAGCGGTAGTAAAAATGTAAATAATGGCGCGTGTGTAAGTAAAAGCCGCGAGGATTAATTGTATTTTCGCCCTGGTTCCAGGTCGCGGTGGTTGTGGAATCGTTCGAGTCTTGCACGGATTAACTCTTCGTGGGATCCGCAAATTGTTGTTTCTGGTCTGGGTCTGATGTGCACGTGAAATTGTGAGATCGATCGTAAGTACACCCACGACAAACTGGAGAAAATTCTAATAAGAAGTAACGTTTTTTTTTAAAAAATAGGAAGCTAACCCTTCTTATTTCATCCTTTTTACTCTGCGATGGTACAACATGGCGCATTGGAATGTTCTTCTGTTATCAGTGTTCATTCAACTGGACTATCTCATTAGTTCAGCGGTTGTAAGCATGACTATAAAGCAAGCGGTCTTGGGTTGGGTTCCCGGTCAACCAAAATATTAGGTAGGTATGTGAGAATTTTGGTTAAGTATTCGAAATTTTCGTTAATTGCACGAAGCCGAGTAGTGCTTGAGTAGTGCTTGGTGTATAACAATCTCAAGCTCAGCTCCTTTTACATGGGATGAATAAAATTAAAAGATGAGTACAGAGTGATATCAGCTTCCACAGAACAACCCAAACTCCAGAGCACCTTCAATCACTTTAAAGGAATTTTCCAGTCATTACTATAGTTATAGATATGTACTAAGTTTATTTTCAGGTGAACTAAAGTTGTAATGACGTCACAACTGCTACAGTAAACACCACCAAAATAACAAGTCACTAGGTATGTTAAACTACATTTTAATTTTTAATTTATTTAATGAAAACAACTACCTTTGTTTATTAATAAAATAATGTTCCACCTATGTATAAGTTGTTTTTTATTTACTTAAGAACACTGTTTAGTTTCATAAAGTTGACGTCAGATATTTCTTAAATATATGACCTATGGTACCTATGAAGAGATTTACTTACAGGACGAATAAAATTTAAAAAGAGTAAATACAATAGTTATTAATGCATGTAATAGTATGGAGCAATTCTGAACACCAGTTACATAGAAAGACCGAAAAAGGAATAAAGAAAGAAAGGGAAAGATATAAGAGGACAGGGAAAGACGATTCCAAAATCTATTATAGCAAACTCACTTTACGATTAATGATTAAAAATCGATTTGAGAGTCTGTCATAGGTAAAATTGGAAACCAGACATCTTACATAACATACCTTTTTTAATGGATATAATAGTTCTAGCAGCCAAAAACTGAAAACCAACTCTATGACCGTTATTTTAAGTGCTATACTCCACTTCCCGTTTGTTGCCTGGTGACTGAAACTGAAAAGTGACTTTGTACCTTCTGTACCTATAGTATTTTTTGTTGTAGTTAGTACTGCCGCATATACTCGTAGGTACATTACAAATAATTCAACTGTGTAGTTTTGTATATATTATTAATTAGCATTAAAGTGCCTACATTTTGATGGACGGGATACAATCATGACTAAAAACCGCCCCGTTCCTTCTACTGCTCCAGGCAGGGGTCAAAGTACATTATTGTTCTTGCAACTGCTACTCCGGCTGGAAGTAAGTACATTAGATTGTCATTTGTTTTCAAGCTTGGTGTCTAATATTGTTCTTAGTCTAGTCTAGTGGATTTGTTGTAGCATAGATGGTTACCCTGCCCCTGTTTACGGACTAATATACCGCGGCCTAGAACAGAACAAGAAATAAATTCTACTCAGTAGGAATCTGTCACTTTCTTCAGGTTGAGAAAAGTTAGTTAATAAGGTCATAGAAAAACAACATAACTGGGTATCAACGACCATTGC